AAAAAGGCGTCTGGTCTTTGTAAGCTATTGTACTCTCCTTTTCTCCTCCCTCTTGTCTCCCGTTTGGCCCGGGTAGCTAAGGTGGATCACAACATCGTTCAAATGCTAACAATAGTTTCCTTCTCGTAGCGGATGTGGAGCTGAAGAGAACACTACAGTCCCTAGCATGTGCTAAATACCGCGTTCTCCTTAAAAAGCCCAAGGGCAAAGAGGTCAACGAAGGAGACGTGTTTGCGTACAATGCCAAGTTTGAGGACCAAAAGATGCGGATCAAGATCAACCAGATCCAGCTGAAGGAAACCAAACAGGAGAACAAGACGACACACGAGCGTGTTGCCGCAGACCGACACTTTGAGACACAGGCCGCGATCGTACGCATAATGAAAAGCCGCAAGACCATTACGCATTCAGACCTGGTAGCTGAAGTAATCAAAGCAACCAAGAATCGCGGTCAGCTCGAGCTTGGCGACATCAAGAAAAACATCGACAAGTAAGCCTTGAACACTCTGCTGACTGACAATAAATAGAAAATGCCTTGCTGACACGTGTATGCCAGGCTCATTGAGAAGGACTACATTGAACGAGAAGATAACAACCGGTACAAGTATATTGCCTAGACCAAACACAAACACAGCTTGTTCAAGAAAAAAAAAAAAATAAATAAATAAATAAAAAATTTGATCACCATCTCCTACGACCTTTTCCAAGAAACGACACGAATAGGCCAAAGAAAAGAAATAAAAGAAAAATAATCACATCCAAGAATGACAAACCACCCTCTTTTGGTGCATTTTGAGCGGAGTTCTACGGGGAAAAGACATGCACTTTTTTCATCTCACGAATAATAATATACGCTCGTTGACTTAAACTCTCTCAGCTACCTCCACAACGCCTTTCTCCTATATTTAGTGACTTACGTGATGCCGCCGGTCCAGGCCTTTGAAGTATTATGTATACTAAATGCGACGCAATATCAGCTGGATCTCGAAGCATCAGATGATCAATCAAGCTTCTCCCTCCAAGGCCATATTTGTTATTTTCTCAAGAACTAGTCTCCATCTTCTCTGTTTGCCATGGCCCATCCAGCCAACTGACTGGGCGAGCACCCGCCATCAAGCTGCGATATTCGGCCGACTTTTTCTTTTTTTCTTTACCTATAAAGCTCCTGAACAGCTCTAGAAGCCGAAATCACCGGCACTTCCCGATCCGGTAAGCCGGGACAGCCGCCGGGCGACGCCCAAGGCCGTCCAGCAGCTCTGAAAGCCATGAACGCCCCGGGCAAGGCGCTGGCATGAGATGAGAAGAGGTCGAAGACCTGCGCTGCTGTCCGGCGGGCGTGGCCAGGCACCCAACCCAGCCGGCGGTGCTGCCAGCGGCCGGCCGACGGAGCATCATAGCTCGCCCTCATAATGCCCTGGCCGACATGGTTAGTAACATGCTTGCTCGGCTCGACGTCAGTCCGGGGTAGTTTTAACTAGTGATTGGAACCCGCCGTCTAACCGGCTAACTAGAGCTCCTGACTAGCTGTTCGTTAGCTAGGAGTTTTTCCCGAAGCGCTGTAACAGGCCCACCCGCCACCAAACCAACAGCTTTCGTCTCGTCTTTGCTTTTTCCTCCAACGCATCACGCTCTCTTCTACCTTTTTTTTTTTTTTTTTTTTTTTTTAGATCCCGCAGCAGTCGAAGCATGTTCCTCGACCGGAGTCGCATGTACCTTGGCTTGTCCCACCCGAAGCTTGCGCTGTCCTGATGCTAACTATGGCCGCCGGCAGCTGGTTGCCCCTCCTGGCTTGTCGGGCCTCGCCCCGACGGCCGGGTCGCATGTATCAGGCCAGCACTACAAAGGTCAGCCGGTCACCAGCTCATTCGCGCTCTTCTTTCTCCTCCTCCTCCTCCTCCTCCTCCAGGCACACCAGTCTTCTTCTCTGTACTATATTCTTACTCCTGAGCAGTTGTATCTGTCGTTTTATTCTGTGAGAACCCGGTCTGATTGTCAGATAGCACCCGTCAGATTGCGCAAGCAGCCAGACAACCCGTCCATAGGCAGAGCGTCCTACAGCAAGAGGGAAAGCCATACCGCCATCGCAATGCAGAGTAAGTAGGCTGGCAATTTGCCCTGCAAGGAGTGTGTCCAGGGATCTATGCTGACGGCCTCTCTAGCTAAACACTTCTTCTCGGACCCAACTCACCTGGTCAATTCGGCCCTTCACTCCCTCACCCTAACCAACCCTTCCCTGGCCTTCGACAAACAAAACAAGATCATCTACCGCCGACCATGCAAGGATACCGAGTCCAAGGTGTCCATCATTTCTGGTGGTGGCTCCGGACACGAACCTGCCTTTGCCGGCTTTGTAGGCAAGGGGATGCTAACGGCGTCGGTGGCCGGCACCATCTTTGCTTCTCCGTCTGCCGAGCAGGTCAGGAGGGCCCTGCTACAACGAGTTGATGGCTCCAAGGGCGTCCTTGTCATTGTCATGAACTATACGGGTGACGTCATGAATTTTGGACTTGCCGCCGAAAAGGGGAACGCAGCGGGCATCAAGACCGAATTCTTCGCTATCAGTGATGACGTCGGTGTTGGTCGTGAGAAGGGCGGAAAGGTTGGCAGAAGAGGAATTGGTGGTGGTGTCATGGTTCTGAAGATCGTCGGTGCTCTTGCTGAGACAGGGTGAGTGTTGATCCCTCTCTTTCATCCTGCATATCTGATTCGATGCTAATACATATATTGTGTGTTTAAGTGCATCTCTGGAAGAGGTTTATGCTACAGCTCAACTTGCCAATAACAACCTTGTCTCCGTTGGCTCTTCTCTGGAACATGTCCATGTCCCAGGCCGAGACATGCCGGACCCGAATTCAGACGACCTGGTGCCCCACGGTGAGGTAGAGGTCGGCATGGGCATTCATAACGAGCCTGGCTCCCACCGTATGAAGGTCACTGCAGAAGAAATGATACAGACCATGCTCATGCAGATGCTTGACCAAAATGATAAGGAGCGAGCCTTCCTCAAGTACAGTTCCTCGGACAGGTTTGTCCTTCTCATCAACAACCTAGGAGGCGTGAGCACACTAGAGTTGTCCGCCCTTACCGCTGAAGTAGTCCTTCAGTTAGAAAGAGATTACAAAATTAAGCCCGTGAGGACGATCCAGGGCACGTTCTTGACCAGTCTCAATGGCATGGGTTTTAGTATCTCTCTCCTCCGTCTTGCAGACACCGGACTGGGTGCAGGCAAATCGTTTCTCGAACTACTAGATGCTCCCTCGGAGGCAGTTGGCTGGGCTGCCCCAATCCAAACCTCCACTTGGGACAACCAGACATCCGCCTCCTTCGAGTCAGCAAGCAGCCCCCGTGCCGTCGAAAAGCCCTCAAACCTCACCCGTATGTACCTTCTCCTTCGTTGCATCTAACTATACATACCCAGCTAACTCGGTTATACCAGTTGATCCTGCCATCCTCAAAAAGGTTCTTTCCTCGGGACTTGACCGAGTTATTAAGGCGGAACCCCTTGTCACCCGCTATGACACTATAGTTGGAGACGGTGATTGTGGAATTGGGCTCCAGCGCGGTGCAGAAGCCATTCTCAAAGAAATCAATGACTCCTCCACACCCCTCACGCCCGACATTCTTGCCACCTTGCATCGCATTATTGACGTCGTCGAAAACACCATGGACGGCACCAGCGGTGCCATCTACGCCATATTTCTTAATGCCCTTGCCCACGGCCTCCGTGCACAGGACAAATCTACCCCAGCGACTGTAACATCAACCATATGGGCTAATGCGCTCCAGCACTCCCTCAAAGCCTTGGCCAAATACACGCCTGCCCAACCCGGTGACCGAACGCTTATGGACGCATTGTCACCTTTCATCAACACCTTGATTGAAACAGAAGATATCCGAAAAGCCGCTGCGGCAGCGAGCCAGGGCGCTGAGGCTACCAAGATGATGAAAGCCAGCCTTGGAAGGGCTGTGTACGTTGGTGGTGAGGACGAGTGGGTTTGCAAGATCCCTGACCCTGGTGCGTATGGTCTCAGTGAGTTCCTGGACGGTATAGCTGAGGGTATATGATCTCATCTATACTTCTTTCTTTTGGCGTCTCCTTTTGCAACTTCATTTTGGGTATAATATCTAGTAAATAATATGCGACTAATATCTAAGTTAATTTGGTTCATTCCCCTCTCCCTTTAACCCCCCTCCCCCACCTCCTCATTTCTCTAATTTTTCCGGCATTACTCTTTGTATCAATCTTCAGTATCTCCGTTTTCGCATGTATATAATGTCGATATACCACCTCTATATTAATACTCTTGAAAACTCCGTCTTACAAACTTGGGGAGGGGGTATATCTGCTTTGACGTAGCACGTGACTAGCTGAGCCGCAAGGTGAAGGCTCAAATAAGGTGCGAAAGGAAGAGTCGCAATGTTCACTCCGCCTTTTAATAATCAAGGCTGTATGTTTCATCATATTCTGGGGATTTTGTATCTTCTCCAGGGCTACTATATCACATAAACCCTAACCTTCCGCCAAGTGTAACAAAGGACCGGTGCAGACTATCCGGTCCATCCCACCACGGACTCCATGTGAAAAAGAAATCGCGAATCAAAACAGTATGGATTTTGAGAAGGAAAGGAGGGAAACAAGAAACGCCAAAGACGCCGACATGCTGGATTAGTGACTTCCATGACATAGCTTTAATATGGAAGCAAGGCATCACTTCACGGGCCAGGCCTGCGTCCCGCGACACCAGAGCGATTTGTTGCGTCATGATTACCGCTTTGGGGTGGAGAGATCTAAGTAGGCGGGAGTCTAAGTCATATGGAGGTGACAGATTGGCGAATGTGTGCGGACCGCGCAGTGTAGAGCTAAGAAAGGACCAAAACGAAGCTCAACTCAGAAGTACCAGGATAACTGAATCGCCTCTCAAGAACCTAGATAGCCGAGTAAGTATAGTGTCGTCGCATATACGGTGAGAAGGGAAGGTCCGGGCAAACTTTGCGTAGACTTACATCTTGCTGATGAAGCGATCTTTATTGACGCCTTTGCCCTTGCCACCCTTGGGCTTCTCAGTCCACATCTCCTTGACGTTCTCTAGTACCATGTTACAGTGACGATCAAAAGCCTTTACACGCGCAAGTAGCTTGCGGTTGTTCCGACATGAGATCAAGACCTGCGAGTGGGCACGGGTAGCTGTTTGGAGGATTGAAAGCGGACCGGTGGTGAGCTCATGTTCTTCGAGAACAGAGACTTCGTATTCACTATAGCCCGTACTAGGTTAACTCATCGCCCATCACCATTATTAATTCATTGCGCGAGGAACAAAGTGAGCTGGAACGGGTTCGGATGCCAAGAACAGAGCAATAAGTGGTTGTCCGGCTGTGGTGTGGTTGAGGTTGGCGATAGCTTCAAGTTTGACGGGAAGGATAGTTTGGGACATTCAAAGGACCAATGGAACGTACGTCAGCTCGCTGCGAGGCTTGTTAAGCAGATCTCTAGAGAACAAGAGCCCAGATGTTAGCAGGTATGCGGCAATGCGCTGTAGCAGCAAGGCCGTCTATTGCGCGGGGGGAAGACCGGTTGAGTCATCTGATTCGACAGTGAATGGGAGCCTGCTTACTGAATCTTGGTGTCGGACATCTTGGGAAAAGCTATAAAAAGGCAGCAACGGTACGCTCCTTCGTGTCGACGTCTTTCCTTGCTTCGGGCTCTTCTTCTTTGCGTTCGTCTTTCTCCTGCGTCTTCGCAGCAAAAAAAGTCAACAAGCCCTAAAGCTTTCTTATATCACGTGATTATTAGGTAATCGCCAAGCTTCAATACCGATTCTGGTTAGCGTGTCACGCGTCGGCGGCTTATTTTTCCAAACCGGAAGGCGCGTTGGACCTGGCGCGTCACTAGTCCCTATCAAGAAATCTGCTTCCCATTCACGCGCGCTTAGGTCAGCAATCTCGAATATCGCGTTTGGCTTCACGACTTTCGATCGTCTCTTAACTCCAACCTCTTCTTCTCCGCCTCCAACGCCTCCCTACTCTTCCTCTTCTCCCTCTCCCCCACACACACGCGGTTGCTAGGCTGAGCTCGCGTGAGAGGGAGACCATTGAAGGGGTTGCTTCCATTTGTTTTTCATTTGTCTTTTTGGTCTTCGTTCTCATTAGATACATGTTCTATTACTGCAACTCCAGCCAATCCTGACATTGCCATATTTACACTTCGCTGCTGTCCTCACGTTATGAAGCCTGCCAGACTACCAGGCACAGACATCAAACTTATGCAGTGACTCATTCACTGAGGCCATCGATTCGTTTCTATTTGCACCCGCCGACTGCTACCTTGAACCCTTTAGCTTCCTCGACATACAACCTTGCAAGCAGCCTACACCAGAAAGGGATTGTCTTCGCCTTAATTTTCTGTGGCTCCTTCTGATACCCGACTTTGCAGTCAGAAAATGGAAAACGAGGAAGGAATCTCTGTCCGGCCTATGAGGCGTAAGTATTCCCGGGTGGCCCAAGGACTAAGTTGTGAATACTAATCTTCTCTATAGTTAAGGTCCTCTACACGTTCGATAACGAAAGCAAAACCAACTGTCTTGCCAGGTGGCCGCATATTTTAGATATCCAAACTGCCTATCTTGATGAAACAACACAGGTTGGCGTGATTGAGCTAAAAACTTGCATTCAAACTATTGTCTCCGCAAGGTAAGGCAATGGCATGTCCTCTCTTTGGGAGAAAAAAAAATTTTTTTCTAACACGCCTCTTAGCCCTGAATTGGTTGCAAAGCTCGGACGAGATTATACAGTCTACGCGTACGACTATTCTGAATATGAAACTCCCTTGGTCGGTCAGGGAATGCTTTCCTGGGTTTTGGCCTCTGCCTCGCCAACGCCAAATGCCCCCGCACACCAATCCAAGACCATTGTCACGGGACGAGTTTGCAAAAACACTGGATTATTCGCTAGAGGTGCACAGGAGACCCTTGAGGTCAAGCTCCGTCTCGTCCCTGTACCAACTGTTCTCCAGAGTGAATATCTTGAGAGTATGCAAAAGTACCGCGAATTAAGCAATCTCATACCACATGATTTTGACGCTCAGGCCTGGACAGCCTTCCTGAAATCAAACCCTGGGCTACTTTCGGGCAGCAGCTCATCCCAGAATGCAGCTGAATCAGAACACACACCCCTGGACAGATCAGGCCTGGAGAAGTTGCAGCAGCTCTTAAGCGATGGCTCGACGCCACGTGAGCTGCCTACTGTTGGGCCTGGGAGCTTCCGCGCTGATTCCCCAGCCCATTTCTCTCACAACCCCCCAAGCCGTGCCTCAACGCCAGGAGTAGCTATGTCTACAAACCAACAAAAGAGACCCGTGGACGAAATAAATCGGCCTGGGTCAAGAGCTTCTATACTCAACCCAGATTCGTATAGGACTTCTAGCCGAAGGGGTTCTATTATGTCCAACTACGGCAGTGGGGATGAAGCCACAGAAGGACCAGCCCCAAAGAGAGCGAAACTGGTTCGAACTGATATTTCTGGCGACGTGAACACAAACATTGAACGCCAACCTAACTCCCTCCGAGTGGCCGCAAGCACGGCTGCGTCTGTAAGGATTCACCGCCCAACACCAATTACTCAGACCAGTCACTCGCTGCTATCAAACGAGGAACCCGTTCGACCACCCACACCCGTGCCATCACTTACCCAAGGTCCCACTCGCCGAAATCGAATTGCTCCCAGCAATTTGCGCCGTCAGTCCTTGGGCCGATCTGACTTCTCACAGAACTCTCCTCTGATAGCCCCAATGCCCGTGTCGAATAGCCGCCTGGCTTTTGACTCACAGGCCACATCTCCGGAGGAGCCTCAGTACGGCATGTTTACCGATACGCCTTTTAATATGCCTTCATCCCCTCCTATCATGGAAACCAATTACGCCCAGGCTTCAAGCCCCGGTCTTCCTCCATTGTCTGACCATGACTCAGGCTTCTTGAGTGCTCAGTTCGATTCGTTAATTGATGACGACGCTAATCAAAATGACCGGATATTACAACAATCCACAGAACAAACCAAAACAATGTTAGGTAGTGCTCAGCTCGAAAGCTCTGCTGGGGATTCTGCTCCGGTACTCCCACCCCAACCGCCCAGGATGTCAAATTCACGCCCCTCTTCGAGAGCTAGCATGAAATCCGTTAAATCTATAGCGCCTGCCACCCAAAGAGCTAGTGTCCCGGCTAGTGACCCCATCAGGCCTCCCCAACCCTGGCAACCACAAACTCAACCACTCCATCCTCTAGCAAGTGAATTCCCTCTTGTGTCCACTCCTGGCTCAAGTCAGCACAATTCCAAACCTCGCAGCGGAGCTGGTGCTAAACGGACGAAACAAGTCCAAGCCCGTCTCGAGCAATGCATCCGCGAAGGCACAGTTCCTCCGTATTGCGAAAACTGCGGTGCTATTGAAACTCCGACCTGGCGTCGTGCCCACTCGAAGGTTATTCCAGCAAATGCTGAGCAGGCTGAAGCGTATAACAGCGATCCGACTATCCTTTTCTGGGAACCGTCTGAACCTGAAGAGGACGGCTCCCATAATTCGATCAAGATATATAAGAAATCACTCGCCCATGATGATTTAGACTTCGTTCAACTCCTCCTTTGCAACTGTGAGTATTAAGAAACTCTGATGATATATATTTGCCATGTGTTTTAACGTATTTTAGCATGTGGATTATGGCTCTACAAATTCAAGAGCATGCGTCCCGAGCACAAATGGCACAAAGTCGTCCCAAAAGAAAAGCCGAAACGAAAATTGAAACCCATAAGACCTCAACCATTGGAGACTCGCGCTCGGCGCAAGGCTCGTAACGCTACAGGAACAGAGTCCTCGCCAGGCCCTTCAGATGCTTCATCTCCGGAAGGCGATGAGGGTGCCACTACACAGGCGGAGAATGATACCCAACCAGAAGTTGATGCTGAGGCCAATAAAGGTAACTCAAAGCAGACTGAGAAAGTGAGGGCCAGTAGCGCTGAGCCACTTGAGTCAGCAGAGAAGCATGATCGTTGGCGCGACCAAGATCCGTTCGAAGCATTAAGACGAGCCATTCAGTCCAGCCCTGCTAGAAATATGAATTCGTGCAAGACCCAGTTCTCAGAGGCACAACTCACTCCCAAGCCAGTTCGTAGAGCATTGTTCCCTTCGAATAAAGATGGCGAATCCATGAGGTCTCTTAGCGACTCCGTGATTAATGGCTTACGTCGAAGTCCCCGATCAACCCACAAGAAACCAACAGGGCCGTTAGGTCAAGAAAACGTTCCACAAACCCTTGCTGATGGCCTTGATCACCTTTTCAGGGATGCAGACGATGACAACACGCTGGATTTCCCTGGTAGCCCAACTCCAAATCGTCGGAATAGGTCCATCCGGTCCAAAAAATTACACGATGCTATAACCAATGCATCCCCATCCCAGAAAGCGGCTCGCGCTCTAACCCAGGGCTCGAAGGATGACAGCTTTCAACCTGACTCGACAAGCCCATCTAAAGGGCTCGATACTTTGGATAACATGGTTCTTACTTTCTTGGCCTCTGAGGCGGATTCGTTTGCTCATGCAGACTCCCTATTCCAGTTCGATGCACCGAAAACTCCCATCAGTGATAGCTGGGCAAACTGGGATCCGAATGACTGCATCCCTCAGAACGACCAAACGTCTAATCTGCCTCAGAAAGACGTTACTTGTACCCCTAAGTCGAGGGACAAGGCTAAATCAGGGAATAACAATCCCGAGACTCCGAGACGCGCTCGCAGTGTCCCGCCCATCTCACCTTTCAAGTCTTTGCTTGATAGCGAAATCAATGAGATTTCAAATCTTCCAGAGTCAGAAATATTTGACCCTGGCTCTCTTTTTGATTCGCATTTAACGAATTCATGGTCGAAGGATAACACTAATGCTTCCCCTCGGGCTAATGGCGCCATGGAAGGCCTTGACCCAGCCGTCTTCGCGGCAATGATTCAAGAAATTCGGGATTCTGCTAGAAGTCAATAAATCATTGCATTAGAATGCGGAACTTCCTATCTCCATCCCACCATTCCCTCTTTCACTCCTTTTTCTCCTTTTCTTAAACACAAATGACCACTAATGACCAGTGTCATTTGGATGGTACCGTTCCAGCCGTGCACCCTTTGCCGGTAAAGGTCTATTTATTGGATTGTCTCTACTGTTTTACTGTTTTCCCAACCCTTTATGTTTATGACGATACCTTGTAGAATATTAACGACTCCATGTTACTAGCGATGCATAACTTTGAGAAGAGCGTTGGTTGGGTCGACTGTACTTGCTACCAGTGATCAGGACCACACGCTTTATTCTATGATACTGCTTCCTTTCAATAGATAGCAATTATATCTATTTCTGTCCGAAGGATTCATTAAGTAACAATCGGTATTTAATTTTATGTTAGATTAAATGATGGTGATCTACTGTCAGACCTTGTTGTAAAGGTTTCCTCCGTCGTACGATATATACTTTATTTAATTACTCGAGGTTCATGTATTAATACTGGCAAATCTTAACACTGGATGGAAGTTGACTTTAATATTCATATTATCATGACTCGAGAGCACCCAATAAATCCCAGAATAACTATCGAGTACTATGATGTTCACCACCTAGACAACAGGCAAGGGACCAGATGTATATCTGTATTTCCATACTTTTTTTCTTTTTTTCTTTTCTTTTCTTTTCTTTTTTTTTTTTTCCTAAAAAAATATTCCAGCAAATACACATCAAGACCAAGCTGGTGTGCTGTCCTTTTTGGCTAGTAAAATATGCCACTTTACTTGACCTGGTGCAGATTTGCAGGTAGCTATTTACGCCATAGGTTGCCCATCATGCACCTCGAATAACCTCAACCCGAGTCGTAAAAAATAGTCTTGAACCTATGAGTATTTTCCACAACTTGCTCATAGATCTTATAGTCTGTTATATTGGCACGATCAGTTAATTATGTTTAATTTCCAGGGAAGGAGAACCACGTTGGATAAACCCACCAACTTCATGCGGGCTGCCACAATCTGTCGCTCCAAATACTCTGAGACCAAGACTCTACATCAAGATTAGCCACGGTACTGGTTTCTGGGTAATCCATTAAGCCTCGCGTTTTCATTCTAGGGAAATGCTTACACCCTCGACTTCGACGACTTTTCCAACCACATCGACCATTCGATCCATCTGTAGATGGGAATCTCTGTTTAATATGAGGGTGATGTCGCCGTGATCACCGCAAGTAATAGTAGCATATTCTCCACGTAATGAGGATACTCTGCCTAGTATCCGTACTGCACTCGGCATTCGACCGCTTGTTGGGCCAGAAGAATAAAACTGTTGAAGATATTCGGGGAGAATGCGGGGGGTCACGAGAGACATTATTTTTGCGATTGACAGCCAACACTGATTTATTTCGAGTAGAATAGAGAGCACACGGGTATCTCAATCTCTTGCTCAGCTTTATAATCTGTACTGTGTCTCGGTTCTTGGATCTTCGTTGTCATTGATATCAACATCCCGCTTCCAGCCAGCAGAGCAGGTAAGGTTCATTTGACAGCGAGACGCGTCGGACGCGTTGATGACTAAGATTAGTCATTACGGAATAGGATTATATTTAAGCCGAGATTGGATGAGGCTGAACCTTAAGACGACGGGAGGGAAAGGCAACGGAAACGGCAACAACGGGAACTCCTCCCAAACATTCACAAAAAGACACATCCTTGAGACAGTTGAGTGGTCATTGAGAAGGTCTTTGAAATAGTATTAAACAAGTTATTTGCTATACACAGGGCCCCCTTCCATTATGCAAGCATTTCGCTTTCATAATCGTGCTCAGAAAAGAAGTAACCAACAATATATTCACCAAAGCAATCTTGTGGCATGGACCAAAACTCGATCGAGGGGCACTCCGCAACAAACAGGACCAAGAAATACAGGAGAAAACAGAGGTTCAAAATACTCGAGAAAGGCGAGGTAGGAGGAACTCGGAGGGGGGGGGAATGTTGTCCGCACTACGGAGTAATAGTGCAGAGATGGGCGGAACACGTATATGACAGTTGGGAGTTTTGGACCAGCCAAATAGGGGATCGTGTGGGAATTGAAAGCCAGCAATTTGAGAAGGTGTAGAATGGTTTATCAACTACCGACCGGCTTATATTTGTGGTTCCACTGAGTCCTCATGGCCATGACGTTGTTTTGGTCTTCAACAAACTTGCTGTTTTCCATGGAGAACTCTCGTCGTCCAGCTCTGCGTTGCTTGACGCAGCAAAATGCTATGATCGCCATACCCAGAATGACTAGTCCACCAATTGAAGCAAAAATAGCGATTTTGGCCGCGGCGGGTAGTTCTCGCCATCTCTGTGCCAGAGACTTAGGTGGGGGCTTGTTAATCTCATTTGCGATGTCGGAAACACCACTAGACAGAATCATTAGTATCGACCATGCAAAAACATGACCACTGTCATCGAGGCAACTGGGGCGAAGAAACAGCAACTTACTCTATCACTTTAATGCTCTGCCAGTCGCCTGACCTGTCGGAATATGAATATTCCTTCCCTTTATGTGCGTCAACAACCTTCAACTCCTTGACGCTCATGATATACGGCGTTTTCTCATAGTCGATTTCACCTCCTGCCCACTCAATAACCCCTTTCTTGTTCTGCGGATCTCCACCAGGCCAGATACCCAGTCGCACAGTGGAGGGAGTTTGAGGAAAGTTTTTCCCTCCAAGAGCTTCTTCGTACTTCAAGGTTCGGACAAGAACGGTATCAATATACCATTCGATCTTCTCTGGTGTCCAGTTGACGGTATAGTTATGGAAGTCGTCCATGGCTCCTTTAATGTCGAAGGTCTTACCGCGGTCATAGGAAGTAGTGTTTCCCTTGCCGAAGTAGTTGGTTTGAACTTTGTCTGGCTCCGAGCCAACCCATTCCCAATCAATTTCATCCAACACTTCTGATTGAATGACAATACTACTAACAACTCCTCGTCCAGTTGCAGCCTTCATATGGACTTCGACGGTACCGAAAAATATATAGAAGAATGACTGAATAGTTGGCGAATCGAGCGCCTTGTGGATTGTGAAGTTGGAACCAGCATCGGAGATTTCGACAATACCGCTGGTAGCATTCCAGACATCAGGATTCAGTGAGCTGTTGAGATAGGTGGTATAGTTCTGGCCCAAAGCCGGGGCATTGGGGCAATCATCCTTTTCCAGGGGATTGCAGTACGTGAATGTCTGGGCGACGACGGGAGATAGGAGACAGGCGAAAAGCCCCAACGACGATAGGACGGAAATTCTTCGAGAAGCCATCATGGTGAGACGTGATACGACGTTCGTTAGAATAATGGCAGCAGAGAGGTGCACAAAAGAATGAAAAGACGTCTGCGGATTTGCCGTGGAGGCTCCTTTTTTTTTCTTTTTAAAGAGAGGACGCTATCATGAATCAGTGCGACCGAAAGGACATGAATGAGAGACAAGAGGCCACGCCCCTCGGAGGGGGAAAGACTGATAGCAGCTGGTGGTTATGGTGAATATGAGAGAAGGAATTCGATGTCAAACGATCGAACTTCGATGGCACCCCCTTCCCATCGTTATTATTATATGACGGGGGCTTTCGGACCATGAAACAGCACCCGACTGCCTCATGCTGGTTGGTCTATGGTGGATCCACTTGGCATTAGGTTGCGACTGGGACCTGACCACTAAGCCCTCTGCAGCTTAGTACCCCCAGAAGTGGTTGAGATTCAAGGAACAAAGATAGGCTATTATTGGAGAGCAAAAAAGGGGGGCAGGCCTTATTTTCTGCAGAGACCCCCTGAGATCGTCTGCAAGATGGATGTTGAAGAAATGGAGCAATCACGTCCAGGGCCCTCAGAAATGCTCAAAGTCACACAGCTCATCACAGGGCATCCGGAGTAATCGATAATCCACGCATAGATCGTCATGAATTCCTGGCTCCATCCCTTGACTTACTTTCCTTTACCCCCTTGCTGCCTCTCGTCAAACAGGCGAAGGACTGGCAAATTTCGGCTGAAACTCTTTTGCCTGAGGCCGCCCATTCCGCCACAAGGCAGGCTATACCGCTCGCTTCACTTGGCAACCTCATCAGTGGCCAAAGAGAAAAAGCCTTCTCCTCTCTCGCCCGTATAGACACTTAATCACACTTTATCGGCTGCAAATCACTGAAACTATAAAAAGGCGTATCACGTGAAGATGTCTTATGAGTGGACGGGCGGTAACCGAATCCGGATCATAGATAATGTTAATCCGGGCACATGGAATGGATTGGATGGAACCTAACTTACCTTAGGTAATCTAATGAATATATGATTACTAATAATGCGATTATCGATAAACTAGTTACGTGGTCCAAGCTTCAGCTTTCTGATACGAAGAAAAAGACCTCTCTAGTCAGTTCAAAAGGACACACCCACCACAGCTGTCTCCCTTTCACTACCATGTTTATTGTCATATAGCTATATATAGCTATATATCTATATCAATAAGCATGGCTCCGCCTTCGTTTCCGAGTTTTGGCCGTGGCACAGCCGCGAAGCGCATGCAACCAGCAAAACGGTACAGACCCGGCAAGCCTATCGCAGATGAAGTTGAATCGTCCGAAGAGGAAGAAGAGGAAGAAGAAGAGGAGCAGCCAGAACAAGTACCGCAAAGTCGTCCTCCTCCAAGCTCTAGGAACATTACTTCTGGCGTTCGGCAAGTCAAATTGGAGGAGGAAGAGGAGGCAGAAGATGAAGAAGGGTTTGTAACTGAAGAGGAGGAAAATGTTGACGATATCCCTTCTAAGCCCCAAGCACACGCTACTTCCGATAGACCTCCCGCTAGTTCAGTGCTGGTAAAGAAAGAAGAAGCGGAAAAATCAGAAAGCGAGGATGAGTCAGAGGAGGAATCAGGTTCAGAGGAGGAATCAGAAGAAGAGTCCAGTTCGGAGGACGAAGGTCCAAAGAGGCTGCTACTTCGCCCAACATTTATAAAAAAA